TATATATATATATATTATGTACAATATGGATAATATATTAATACACATTCTAGAAGAATGTTGTGGAAGATATTAATATACAGAACATTATAATTCACAGATAAACCATTATGGAAAATGTGATATTGATTACATTGTAAGTTCGGAAGACGATAGTCGTTTGATAAGAAAATCGTTCGATCCACGAATGTGTATTGGACATCCTAATCGCTACTGGTCAAATGTTCCTAAAGTACAATGCACTGATGATGATCAAGTACGACGCTACTAATAATACTACAACATTTTTAAACTTTTTTTGTAGATTATAAATTCGTAACTGAAAATATTCTAACATCAAACTTTGAAAAAAAAAATTGGAAAAAGTAAAAAAAAACGTGTTTTTTATTTTTGAAGTTTGTTATTTAAAAAAATAGATCATATAGAAATTCGAGTATTAACTCGAATTGAAAGCTCGAATTTGAAGTTACTGCAAAATAGAGATAAATAAATATAACATGACAAATTTTTTTTAGTACAGTTTTTTTGGAGGATCGCGCACCAACTACAGCATGCCATTTGCTATATTATCTCTTTATTAAATATTATTTAGAATATTATTTAAAATATTTAGAATATTTAGAAAACGCCAAAATTCTATATGATTATGATTATAATTGATTATATTTAATTTATGCTGTCAAATAATTAAGGCATTTATTATTACATATTATTGAACTATTTTCAATTACAGATTTGTAATATATAGAAAAAAAACTTATCAAAATCATTTGTCACACATAAAACAAAATCCTTTTTGTATAATGTAATTTTCATATTTATTTAATACAATTAATCGAATTATGTGGATATCTATAAGAATATTTGTTACTATATACTATACTATGTTATATATTTCTTAGAATCCTATCTTGAAAAGTAGCGAGAGAGTGTATCAATTAAAAACTGATGGATTCGTTCACAATATTATCTCCGTAAATGCATCTGGAGGTATCTATGTACAACCTTTTCAAAGCATGGGAGAAGCGCATTATCATTTCGTTCGGTATATATTTTACAAATATAAATATATTATTTTATTCTATAATTCTTCTCGTATTATTTTATTCTAAATGAATTAGATGTAAAAATTGCTTTATCCTACACAGGCAAACTATTGAGTTAGCTTCAGTGAAGGATATAGCGAATAAGATAATTACAAATAATTTACGAACTACAGTCCTTCAACACGAGCTACCAGAAATAGATCTTACACAGGGTAGAGGTACACCGGATAAAAATTTTGTTTTTAAATCTGTGAGTTTTATTTTCATCTTCTCTTTGCCTGTTTTGTATGTTTATTCCAGTTAAATCCTCCATCAAATTGTTGTAGATAAGTCATTTATTAGATCGTTTAAGCCACAGGCTTGAAAATCCTGGTTTAGATACCGAAATTCATAATTTGCACAATACAACGATATCTGTGCTTCTCTATTATCTCGGTATGTTAAATCGGGTTGACTTAGAAAAGGCCTATACTCGCATTTCAGGAACTAGTTATAAAGAAGAAACGATACGGTATTTATATTTTAATTATTCCTTGTTACATGATCATTTCTATTTGTAGGATAAATTATATTTCTGTACTTTTTATCATAACAGAAACATGTTTCTCGAAGCGCTGCCGCAAGTCGGAAGTAGAGAGTCTGCGCTTTTTATATTAGATCTTGTTCAAGGCAACGAAGTATCCGACATGTCTGCGATTCAATTACTTATGCGACTACCGTTTCACATAAAAAAACCTGATGTTCAACTGCTGGTCAGTCTCCAACCACTTCTTGCGCTGCCGAGCAAAATCTGCGCGGAGGTGCAAAATACTGCAATTCTTACTTATGGAACATTAATATACAAAACTTGTCTAGTACATTGTCCGTATGAGATGTTAGATGATTACGTACGCTTATATCTCGATAAATTTACTGGTATATGTAACAATTTGTATTATGTATCTGTGTTGCAATTTATATTATTCGGATAAGACTGTTTGATTCATGTTATAGAAACTACTTTGTACGAGCAGAAGATGATCTGGTTGGAAGGTTTGGCGAACATACAGCTGGGTAAAGTCGTCGAGTTCTTAGAGCCTATAGCTACCGGCAATAATGCTGAATCGCGACATTTTCGAGTACTTGCGGCTTGGGCTTCTATTCCCACAGCACCGTTGAGACCCGATATTGTAAGTGATTGTTCGTATAGATTTACACAGATCAATATTTTATATAGAACATGCTGGACATCACATTTCATATTGAATTACATATAATAATTTTCTTTTACAGATTTATCCTGTATATTGGCCGATCTTGCTCAATAAAACCGAACATTTGGAGATGAGGGTCGCTGCACTAACTTTGCTTATTGTTTCCAGTCCTACGCCGAACAGATTGATTTCTCTATATTGGTACATGCAAAACGAGCCCAATCAACACTTGTATAATTATTTTTATACGGTGCTAAAATCTATGGAACGCACCACGTATCCCTGTTACAGACGCATGTAAATACGCGTATAAATTTATCAGAGCGAAAGAACAGCAATATTAATCAAATATTAATTTTTATATCGTTGCGTATTTGTAACGAATCTCACTGTCTTGATTTAATTTATGTTGCTTGATCGCATTGGTACTGTTCTTTCATT